CATATCGTGATTCGTAGAGTAAGGTGAGCGCTTTCCATAGACAATAGTAAAGTATACGGACAACAGGATCCGATCTGCACGAATATATAACCGTGTTATCGTAGCATCTCCAGCCGTGCATTGGGATTAAGTTTTCCTTGTGACAATCAGGTGACAGCGGTGAGACTTGAATGCACTGATGAACAATTCGGTGGCACATCATCTCTGAACTATCCCAACAAGGGACGCATAATCAATCCCAATTGACGCTGTGACGCTTTCGCGAAAGTCAAAGGGCTGGCAACACCATTCGAATCATACGTTGAGATATATCCGACACGAGACTGGATGGTCAACCACTTCCCCTGAAGGACTATTCTATCACTTTTCTAAGCCCGTCTCCCGGTTATCTATCAAATTAATTTCCGCCTCAGTCAAATCATGGTTTTCTTTTGTGATCAAAATTATCTGAGAAAAATTGTATTTCTTAAACACCACCTTTGTAACCCTTGATTGACATTCTGAGGCAAACGAGTGTCCAGCCACTTCAGCCTCGTCTATCAAAGTATTTTTATGTTTTCAGAGCAAAAGTACGTCTATCTAGTTCCTGCGCTAAACACCAACACGTGAGCATGAATGCGTTTTACTTTTCCGGCGTACCTGAGTGAATAATCCTGAGCAGCCTACCGTTTAAACCCGATGATGCGAAGAGTGGTATCGGAATGATTAGGCAAAGGTTTTCCACCATGCAGATATAATTCATTACAAGCGTATCAGGAGTCCGCTTTCGGGCTTAGTTTAGTCGCGCATTTAGTCCGAATAATAAACCCGGTCTCATCGTAGGGATTCACACATGAGGAGCTTTCATGAAAGACTAGTTTGAAAGCAGCTCTCATCAAAGATAACTGTAATGTGATCCGAGGTTAGGGACACAGATTACGTGACGGTTGAAGGGGTATCACCCAAAGGGCACAAGATGTGAGACTATGACGTAATTCGGGGCATGCAAACAGATGTTGGCGATCAACAAGGCTGAATTCAACAAACATCAAAGTGAATCAGCAAGACATGCCCATTGAAAATCGACTAGTGTTTGTTGTGTTTTAGTTGCACTGCAGAAAAAGTCGCGCCATGAAACTGCACACACATACCGGATGCGATTGGGTGGATGACCTGCTTACACTCAGAGCTTCTTGTACCACACGCACTTCTTCATACGAATGTGTTTAGAAAAATGGTAGAGGGAGTAGTAGCACACGTGACGTAATTGATCGAGCCCATAAGATTGAAATACTTAAAAACTGGAACCCAGAGAAACAAAAATATCAAATGCTGGGCTGTCAGAAGTTACTCAGTGTGGGCTCAGTGATCGCTGAGTTGGGGTAATCCTGAAAAATAACTGGAATACATAAGACATAGGTTACCTATTTATAATGAATGTCACAATTCGGAGGCAAAGAAAGAGCTCTTTCGATATGACTAGTACACAATCAATAATTCAAATTTTACTGGAAACAATACAACATATCAGCANAGCATCACTAATTACAGTAAACAAAACCAAATATAGATAGCCCTTTATTTGCGAAAGAAATCTCTGTGATGACCAGTAAAGAGCGCTGGCGAGATTTCTTTTGTTCTTTTGGGGGATTCGTCAGCAATGCGCAGTTTTTGCATACGCACCGGGACTCAAACTGTCAACCAACTTCGGGTGGGGTGTCACAAGGAATGTAGCGGTGAATCGTGGACAGGATCTGGAGTTACGCACTTCTACCACAGAACGGATCAATGTAGATCAGACAAAAGCTATGACATTTAATTGAATTAATAGAAACCCTACTTCACCGACAATACAACACACAAAAGCCAGTTGAATGTTATTACATAAGCGGAAAATTCAACTTCCGTGTGTGTGGGGTTGATGGGTGGCTGGGCGACATCTAGGATACACCGTCTGTGTTATATCAAATTAGTGAGCAGTTAGGTAAATGGAACATAACAGTGGTTATTCTTAGCAATTACTGCAAAATTAACTTCCACTGGGAAGCAATGGCTATTAGCAAGTGGAACTGTGAACGAGCACCAGGAACCTTAAACAATCCACTTTCGGGAGTTCAAGTCAAGGGGGCGGGAAGGGACAAGAACGGACGGGGCGAAGAGTGAGTACATATCAGTCACTCGACTCCAACCTGTGAAGGAATGCCTAACAGGTCGATAATGTTTCTTCATTTCATCAGAAAAGGGAACAAACAGAATTCCTACCTGTAGAGCACTGTCTAAACTGGCCGTACTCTGTCGTTTGCGATCCACACGATTTCGGCGCGAAAGAGAACGTCGCACCCCGGTGGCACTCGTATGAATCAAATCTGTCGGCCAAACAGCGGCCGACGACGAACAGGGTAATCGAAAGTCAGTCACCTGAGGCACTGCATTGGCCGGAGGCTGACCGACGCGTAGTGGCAAATTCTCATATTCACTGGCCACTGTGGTTCCCGTGAACCCGAATTCCGTGTTATCTTCTTCGTAGCCTGGATAACCAGGATTAGGCAACAGGCCTGTTTGACTTTGGATGAGATAGTTGACAGACTGTTGCAGCGCTCGATAACAGTTGTGTATATCCGTCAGTGGAGCGTAGGTGGAACGAGGACCACTGGTCAGCTCGGGGGTGGAGACCCGCTTGGGTGGAGCCGCATCTCGACCTGGACTGAATGGAACTGCGTTTAGTGGTGAGGTGGTTGTGGAACCTAAACCCTCATGAGTGTTACCAGAACCGGGAGGAGTGGATGATGTGGACGGGGTTCGATCGGGCCGTTTGAGCACGACACCAGATCCTCGGACAACACCGGGTCCCTGGCCAGTAGGACTCATTTTCGCTTCAACCGCGTTCAGGATAACTGAAAATAAATATGGGCAATCAGTGAGTATGTACAATAACTCCCGTGGGAGGAAAGAAAAAAGCCGTTTGCCCTAATAATAATGGTAAATACAATGATTCGGGTTCTACAACCATTAAACAGACACTTCCGTACGGCGGTTTGGATTGCTGTCGTTTGGCAGCCCATTTAGATAAAAGAGTAGAGTTAATATTGGAATGTTCGGAGCAGCGTCAAAGAGAAAATAGAGAATTCTGGGATAGTAAAGTTGCGAAGAAATTGAGAAGATGCACGAGCACCACTGTTTGCGCCAATCAGCCGTATCGTTATCTCTAACCTGTGGATAGGATGATCTTGGGGTTCCCATATATGTGGCCAAGCCTCTCACTTAGGGTTTTCATACCTTCATTCTGGGCCTTGATTTGACCAACCTTTACCTTTTTCCACCCATGACCTGCCTCAAAAAACGTACACCGCGGCAAATCTATTTGGTGACGTGTGTAACACTTGCCCCAACCAACGTAATCCAAGAAGGTTGAGCACTGACCCCAGCAGATGACTGTGATCACCTAAAACTCTGCAACGAACCTCAGCATTGCCTGCTTCCCGGTTTCCTCACCCGACTCGTGCGATGCGGCCACATACACACTGTACCCGACTAGAATCGAAATCAACTGTGACACTGAGCGGGCCTCCGTTGCTCCCGTGGTTTCGCAACGGTAAACAACATGCTGTTCTGTTTAATGCGCGCAGTCAGCATTCACTACCTGTTGAATAAGTAATTCTCTCCCAGCACCGTACAGTTTCGGTTCTTCTTATCCAAAAACTTAACAATAAGAAACACATTTGAGCTTTAAAGGCTCCTCTCTCTGGACTGAGTGACAATGGCGCACAGCAAACCCACATTTCATAACCAATCGAATTTCTCAAACCGCTGCACTACTGGAAACAAACACTGTTGGGCGATTGATTTTGCAGCTGTTGCGCAGTGAAAAAAAAATAAAAAGGGATATGAAAAGAATAAAAAAACAATAAAGTATAGTAGAAAATGGAAAACTGGATGAACGACGAAGGAAGAAAAATTCAAAAGCGTTGCTGTTTATTCGTATGAATCCAATTACATATTGGAGAAATCTCTTCAAGCTGAAACCGACAACGCGATTCAGTCAAGTAATCCAATATTTCGCTGACTCATGAAGTGATTGATTATCTTTCAACATTTTTCCGCGAGCAAGAAACGTGTCTCATTCGGAAACCAGGTAAAAAGGATTATATTCAACGGGCTCGATATCAAACTTGGGTTGGCCGATATTCCAAACCTAACCTGGACGGGGGCTTATACGGTTGCCTCAGATAATGGCCGGTTCCAGAGATGAAAAAAACAAGATTTTGATGTCACTGGAGCATGTTGTGATTCTGGCGTGCCCAAGACGCCTTCCCCACCTCCTTCCCTGGTCAGGCACACACAGGCTTTTCCCCGAGTGACTAACTGAGAAAGGAAGCCCGTGAAACACAAATTGTTGTACGGCTTCAGTCTAATCATGATACCAACTGCTCCTCATAACCGAGGAGCACAGTTAAGTCTGGAACTTAGAATATGATCAGGAAGTCCCAGTCGCATTTTCTAATTTCCGGAAGCCGTGATGTGTGTGTGTGTGTGTGTGTGTGTGTGTGTGACAGATCTCGATAACACATCCGGATGGCAAGGACAGACAGGCAAGATATGAACTTCCAGTTTCGTTCGTACCCCCTACCGCTTCCTGCCTTTCCACATGCAGGCACCTCAAAGAAAGGGGTCGGAACGAGTGAGGAGGAGCGGGGGGGGGGGTTGGATGCACGAACTTGATTTCAGGGCATGACAGCGGATCACAGGCTCCGAGGGTAGAAAACTACACTGAGTACATTCCATGGAAAATGGGGATTGGGAATAGAGAAACAGTGCATCGAGTTCAACGGGGATAATTGGGGGAAAGAGACAGAATGCGCGATGGGAGCAACTAGTCGGGTTTGTACCGCTCATACTTGGAGACTCATAAAATGCGGAGAGGGAGAAAGAATGAAGTGCAACCACCAGTATCTGTGAAGGAAAGTAATCAGTAGTTCGGAACAACTGCAAACAGGTCAAGCCACATACTAAATAGTAGAAGAGAATA